GAGGATTTTGTGCAGAACTGAACCTGAATCCTCAGTGTTACAGGTTCCCTGTGCTGTGTTTCCATTAAGCATGCTTAAACTGGTCTTTCTGTAATCCCTCACTCCCCTTGTTACGTCTCAGACCCTGGGTTGGCAGTTGATTCATTGTAATACGAAGCGCTGGTGGTGGCATCACATACTGAACCTTAGTTTTAATAAAAGAACAACAGCGGAATAGAGGTTTTGTTGACTGGTATGAGGGAGAGAGCAGGTGAAATCAGGGTGCAGGAAATGACTGAAGGAGCAGTGGGGTAGCAAGACCAGTAGGTATGTAAAATGGACAATGGGGAAACACTTTAAAGGCTGTGTCATTTAAAGACTGGGCTCACCTGCAACTCCAACCTTGCAAATCTTAGAGAGCTACGCCTAAATGTCAATTTTGCAGCTTCAACACTTGCTAACAGTGAGGATCTGCAATATTGTTACATGCTTCCATGCACCCTGCTTCTTGCTGATCGGCCTGATTTTTTTCTCACTCTGTCTGCCTCCTTCCCAACAGGTGTGACTGCTCAGTAATTTGAGTACCTGTGAAGAGGGGGAGGGGACTGCAGCTCACTCTCTCTCCTCATTCCAGTCTGGCAGGAGCTTCTGCAGTAGCAGTGAATTTGGTAGTGGCTGTGTTTGACCTTATGTAGGTACTTTCAGTTTTTCTCCTTTTTCTTTTCCTGGTGGGTAGAGTAGTTTAGTTTTTACGGCTTTAGTTCCATTGTTGAAGATTTTGTATGTTTGTTAGGGTAGAGGGGAGAACCCTGTTCCGCTGGCCCCATGTGGGCTAGACAGTGGTGGCTCTTTTTCTTTTGTTCTTTTTGGCTGGCCCACCAGTATTTAGTTTGTTTGGGAGGGGGGTTTGTTTAGCTAATGTTTTTGTAGGTTCTCTGTCTTTAAATTGGTCACATTTCCTGTCTACCTTTATCAAAATTAAAAAATGTGTTTTCTTTGCAGTTCATGACCTATTTAACTGTGTTGCTGGTATGAGCTAATTTAGGGGATCGTAACAAATATTTATTTGATGACACATATATTAGATCTTTTTAAGGTTGTCATTTCGAGTATACATTAGCCAGTGCTAATAGAGATGGAGATTACTGACTAAGTCATTTACCTTTCCATGCTGTTGAACAAGAATTCCATCTATTATCTATACACTGCTTAATCCTCACTAAGGTCATAGGGGGCTGGAGTCTATCCCAGCTGACTCATGGCAAAGGCAGGGGAGACCCTGGAAAGGTCGCCAGTCTATCACAGGGCTACACGGAGAGACAAACAACCAAGCACACTCACATTCACACCTACAAACAATTTAGAATCCCCAATTAACTTCAGCATGTTTTTGGATTGTGGGAGAAAGCCGGAGAACCCGGAGAGAACCCACACTGCACATCGGAGGAGCAGCTACGTAAGTGGTCTCCAGCTTCAGGCATCTGGGCGTGCTCCAGCGAAGACCTCATCTGGAGCTGCAACACTTCTTGCCTGGTCAGGAAGGCCCACCAGTGCCTCTATTTCCTCAGGAGCCTGAGGCACGCTGGACTTGGGAGCTCAGTCCTGACCCGCTTCTACAGATGTGTGATAGAGAACGTCCTGCTTGTGCATCAGTGTGTTGCATAGCAGCTGCTTGGCTGCAGAGCCATCGTCTCTGCAGAGGGTGGTGAAGGCTGCAGAGGATTGTGGGGAGCAGCTTACCCACTATACACAGACATTTATATCAGCAGATGCAGAAAAAGGGCCATCTGCAATATGAAGGACTCCACCCATCCTGTACACTCACTCTTAAACCCTCTCTCCTCAGGCGGGAGGCTGCAGACTGAGAAACTGATTACATTTTTCAAAATAACTAAGTTGCTAAGATTCCAGACATTCATCTGTTATAATAATTGCTGATTCTATAGGTAATAGTAATCTACTTACTATATAGCACAACTATAGACTCCACTGGTACCACTGCTACTGCTGCACTTTTCTTTTTTACACCAACAAACACATTCCACTATGTGCAATAACCATTACTACCTCATCTTTGTGTATATAGTCTTCTTTCAAAAAAAAAAAAAACATCTTCTGTATATGATGTTTTTTTCTCTTGCAATATTTGCACTGTGTGTTTTCTGTTTCTGTCCTACAATTTGCACTGGGTGTTCCCAATTATTCTTGCACTGACTGTACACTTTTTTTTTTGGAGCTGTTGTAACGGTGAACTTTCCCCACTGTGGGATCAAAAAGTTATCTTTATCTTTCAATTAGAGTTGCAATCAATGCAGTTTTAACAAATCACACAAGACAAACTTTGCGTGTCAACATTCTTCATGCCATAGGAAAAAATATTTAATTCAACATGTTGAAATAATGATAGGCCTACAGTAGTAGCCCTATCACTATCCAATTGAAAAAGGAAATAAAAAGGGCATCACTGGTGAACAATTCTGTTCTACAAAGCTTCAGCTACTGCAGGATCATTTTGCTTTGAGTATTTGATATAATGTGCACCATCACCAGAAGGCCATAGCTGGAGTATCCATGAGAATCAACTCTCCATCAATTGGATGACTAATGATCCTGCTCCTAGAGAGGTGCTGAAGCTTATTAGCTGGAAGTATAAAACCGGAGAATGTGCTACAAAACGGTATTCCTGTAAATCTACAAACCTGAATTGTACAGAGTTGTGTGGGTGAAAGAACTGTCAGAATGATTCCAGAACAGCTAGCCAAGAGGACATTCCTGATGATAGTGATGACAGTAATTTCCCAGACTGGGATAAATAAAATATTTTTCTATTCTTCTATTCTATTCTATTCTAATGCTGATTATTCAGTTTAGATTTAAAGAAATCGACACAGTAAGAGAATATAAATTGGATATCTCTTTCTTTTTTGACTGACCGATTGACATTGTGACCAAAGTAAATTAACTGTAGCACCCCCTGAAATTTAGCTGTAACATGTGTAATTTATCAAGAACTTACACAGATCAGAACAGGTGGACACAAATGCTCGACACAGACAGGTTCATGCAAAAAGGCAGGTTTATTACCAGTCAGGGTTCGGTGAACAGGAGGTCAGTCAGACAAGCAGAGGTATCCAAAAAACGAGAGGTGAAAGGCAAGGTCAAAAATGGAAACAAGGTCGTAAACAAAGCAGACTATGACTATGGCTATGAAGAAACACTGGTACGAAGACTGAAGCGCAACGAACTGGCAACGAGACTGTGAGACACACGAGGTAATATATACGAGGTAATGAGGGGAGATGGGAAGCAGGTGAGGGAAAGCCATCAGGGAGCAGGTGTGATGAGACGGGTGCAGGAAGATAACTAAGACAGAGACAACCGGTTAGTGATTTCAAAATAAAACAGGAAAGACAAGACATAAAATGTACACACATAAAACAGTAACTTGACAGACAGTACCCCCCCTCAAGGGCTGGCTCCAGAAGGCCCAGGTGCTTGCGGGTTAGCAGCGTGAAAGTCGTGAATGAGTGAGGGATCTAAAACAAAACGTGAGGGAATCCAGGATCGCTCCTCCGGCCCATACCCCTCCCAGTCCACCAAGTTCTGGATCCCCTGGCCACGGCAATGGGCAGACAGGAGCTTCCTGACCGTGAAAACCAGCCTGCCGTAAAAAACTAGGGGGGTGGATTGGGCTTGGACGGAGGTCAAAGCTGGCTGGCGAGTGCAGGCTTGACATGACTGACATGAAAGGTGGGGTGAACACGCATGGACCTGGGGAGACGCAATTGAACAGGAACAGGGTTAATAACTTTGGTTATGGGGAAGGGACCGATGAACCTGGGGGCGAGCTTGCGAGACTCCACCCTGAGTGGCAGGTTCTTGATTGAGAGCCAAACTTTTTGACCCGTGGAGTACTTCTTTTTATCCACCGCAGCCTTATAGGCAGCGGACTATCACAGGACTGCTGGCGAGCTCGCTCCCAGGTCCTCTTGCAGCGACGGATGAAAGACAGGGCAGACAGGACAGGACTGACAGGGTCTGTGGACGGAAACAAAGAGAGTGGGTGACTATGGACAACATGAAATGGAGAAAAAACAGATGATGCAGATGGCAATGAGTTATGAGCTAGTTCAATCCAGACCAATTGTGCCGACCAGGAGTTGGGGTGTTGTGATGCTGTGATTCATAGTCCTTTTTCCAATTCTTGATTGAGCCGTTCAGTTTGACCGTTCGACTGTGGATGAAAACCAGATGACAGACTGACTGTGGCCCCTAGCAGACAACAGAACTACTTCCAGAATTTTGAGATGAATTGGGGGCCTCGGTCAGAGACCACATCCTCCGAGAATCCATGGATCCTGAAAACACAATGGATGAGGGCTTCTGCTGTTTCTTTGGCTGAAGGAAGCTTGGAAAGTGGAATGAAATAAATCATTTTAGAAAGTCTATCCACAGCTGTTAAAACCACCATGTTACCACTAGAGGGAGGGAGACCCATGACGAAGTCTAGTGAGATGTGTGACCATGGGTGTTTGGGCACCGAAAGAGGTTGATGCTCCCTTGTGGTTTCTGATGACCCCAGTCAATGGCATTTTACATGCACACCTATTTATTTATCTGTTTATCGCTTTTGGTAAGCACTTGTTCATATTATTTTTCATATTGCTTATAATTTCCCTTATTTCTTCTTTCTTTTCTTTTCTTTTTTCCCCTTATTTCTCTTTATTTATTTGTATTGGTTTAGAACTGGAACCTCAGTACTAATTTCATGCCATGTCATGTGGAAATGTGTCCTGATATGACAATAAAGAATCCTTGAATCCTTGAACAGCAGTGTCTCCTTTGGTTTGGTACAAAGCTAATTTAGTCTGAGTTATTTATTGTCTAGGTATTGATGTCCTTGGAGCTGGCAGCAGAGTGGGTGACGGGGGTGGTAAAGGAACAGTGGGTGAGAGGCAGTTGCTGTTATAAGAGGCCAGAGTGTGTGGAGGCCATGCGTTAGAACATCAGTGACCTCTATCAGTCTTGCTGTCCATCAGCCAGCCATGCTTCAACCACTGCACTGTCTGCTTCTAACTTCTGCTGTGCTGCTCTGCAACACTGCACCCACGGTGAGTGTCCTTTTATACTTACAAATGTTATTAAATTATAATAAATACTACTGAATTATAGTAAAGTTCTGTACTTGTGTCAATAGACAGTGTAAATTGTGAGGTTACAGAAAAAAGAAATGATCTCCAAACCAAAAGTGAATATACTTCATGTAAAATGAGTTCTATGTGAGCTCAATTAAATGTAAAGTTTACATCAGATACTAACACATTTTTTTCATGTAAAATGTCAAGTTGATCCCTGGGGAACATGGTAAACTAAGGAATGTAAGGAGCTCTCTTAAATGTCTTTGGTGCTTGTTTTGCAGGACCATATTGTTCTATTTTAGAGATGAGCTTTGATCCAGTTTCCACTCAGATTACAGTGTAGGAGTTAAACATTCAGGTGAAACTGATGTACCTGAACACACCATGCACTGTAAATATGTTTAAGTTCACTCATCATAGAAACATGCGTTTACCTACTCCTTTAAAAATGTGACTAGCAGCACTTCAGTTGATGAATTAGTTTAAAGTCATCTTCTGAATTGTGAAAGTATGAAACTCGTTGAGTAAAATTAACAAACTGGTTTTAAAAAAGTGTAATAAATTTAAGATGTTAAGTTGAAACAACTAGTCACACAGGGAATGGTTAGAGGCAGACTTGCTTTCTATTACATTTTTTTAATTTCAGGAAGTTTCTTCTTCTTTTAACATTGAAAACTTACAACCTGCTGCTAAATCCATTTTTTAGTTAGCACAAAGGCAGTGTGTGAGACCGCTCCTGGTTATAGTGAGATAAACTGTAATTGTATTGGTGTCGGCAAACTTCCATCATGTCTGTTTTCTCAAAGCACAAAGTAAATATGAGTCTCGAGCAAAGCTCATATTCTAGTTTTGTTTCTTATGAATTGAATTCAGTGAGTTGGGTGGACAATCAGCTGCCCATTCATTAAACACATTAGTTTAGGTCAAAATGCCTCAAGTTATTACAACATGTGCTTTTAAGTTCTAAAGACTGAATTCTATTTTTTCAGATTCAACTTTAGTTTTCACTGTAATAGTTTTAATTTGATCATATTTTGTTCCAGATCTTAAGTTAATATGCTGTTTCATTTAGATGTTTATGTATCTAGCATATATATTTAAATTGTGTTTTTATGTAGCCTATGTATGATCAGTAAACTACTGCTACAACAATTTTCCTCAGGGGAATAATGTCAAATGTAATCTAATCTATGTAGTCTGAAAATAATAATGAGCTATTTTAAGTTAAATTAAGTTTGGCGAAACTCAGACATTTACATTAACTACACTAGAAAAGAGGAGTTCATTTAGTGAAATGTCTCATCCATTTTACAGTGTGGTTAACAAACAAGTGCCCTGCAGCTAGCAGAGGTTGCTTCTTGTCTTATTTTAACATAGTCTAGCCACTGACTAAAGTGGTAATAGAGAAACTTCTTAGAACACACAGCACACATCGACCAGATCAATTTGTGGAGCAGAATTCAGTTCAGTGACCTGTCTTCTCCTGGACCGCCTGGTGCTCGGCTCATCTTCTGCTGTAAGCACAAGAGATAACAGTTCTGTGAAAAGAGTAACAGCACAGATGATATTTGCAAAGCTCACTGAGTTGAATAAACAATGTTGAAAGCATTAAATGGAATGTAAACGCGCAAAGCTAAATGCTTGGTTTGAAATTAAATACAAGTATCACTGAACCAAAGTGTATTACTTGACTCAAACTTATACTAATATAGTAACATCACAAATAATCATATCGACTGTTGTCTATTTTACACTCTTATGTTCAAATGGTTTCTGATTCATGTAAGTGCGGTATATCTATGGGTGTAAAAATAAATCATCTTCCTGGTTGTAGTGACTTGATTATAGTACTTCTTATGACTGTTTAACCAGTATTTTGGTCACACAGCAGAGGCTAGTTTTAAACCAGGGAGGAAATAATAACCTTCACCGATCTGAGAAAACAAAATGTGATGTACAATGGGTCTTTTACCTTTGAATTACGAGCCTGTGGGACTGTTTTCGTGTACACAGCTGAAGTGGAAAATTCTTCAGTGCATCTTTAGGGATTGCTCATTGACGGCTGTTTAGAACATAGAATTGAATCTTCATCGATCTGATTTGACTGTAATAAATGAAACAAAAGATTTTTTGTTCTGTGCTGAGTTTAAGAAAGGAAACTGCTTTTCACCAGCTCAACAGTTGGCTATGAATGATTTTAGTGAAAAAAATTGAGTCAATAAAAAAAGTGTGAGTGATCCTAAGTGTAGCTGACTGTTGCATTCAGTGAGATTCAGTGAAATGCCTTGTATGTTGCTTTGACATGTTACTTTATCATCCAGTATTACTTCTAATAATATTTAAGACCACTGTGTTGTACAAATATAATTAACTTTTAAGCTCTTACTTTATAATATTGAGAAACCATTAAATGCACATTTTATGAGATATGTTGTTTACATTACAGTCACACACACACACACGACTGTATTTTCCATTTTAAAAGAAAAAAATTAAATTTACAGGCAAGTACAGTTAAAGTTAATATTGATTTTACTGGCAACACTATATAAATACAGAAAGTCTAATTATATTTTTAATTGGTGAACCTCATACTTTACAACAGACAACTATAATCAACTGTACAATAATTAATTGTTTCAATAAAATAAATAAAATACAATAAAATACTGGCAACCACAGCTGCCAGTATTGTCCTGCAGTTTTACAGGTAAATTTGTTACAGTGAGCCGTCCTGTCTGTGCTGCAGGAGAAACATGGAGGCTTCGACACCAAGTGTCCTTTGATGGTGAAAATCCTGGATGCAGTGAAAGGGACTCCAGCTGGATCAGTAGCACTTAAAGTGTCTCAGAAAGGTACTGATGGAGGATGGACTCAGATTGCAAATGGGTATGTGCTTTTTAAAGTCAGAAGGACGTAAGTCTCCACTGAATATCTTTGTAATCTGTACAAAGCATGCAAACAGATTGTACTGTTCCCCACTGTAGAGTGACAGATGCTTCTGGAGAGGTCCATGATCTAATCACAGAGCAGCAGTTCCTGGCAGGGGTGTATCGTGTTGAGTTTGATACCAAAGCTTACTGGAAGAATGCGTCGAGCACACCTTTTCATGAAGTAGCTGATGTGAGTATGAAAAATGCATCTGAACTTGATGTCACTACAAAAGTACATGAAGAATTCATGTAAAAGGAGATTCACTTTCAGTACCAGGATGCTGTAGGAATCCCAGTAATAACCGCTATGCAATAAACTGTAATATTTCCTGTGGGCATAAAGGCCAAAGGCTGAACTAACCAACAGACATAGAGCAACAGAGCCAGAACAGAAGAGCAAACAACAGATACACCCATAGAGCTACATAGGTTAACAGCGTGTTACTTTCTTGTTTGTCCTCAGTATGGATATACAGTGTCTGTTTTAGTTGCAATGTCTGTCTTATAAAGTGAAAATACTGCATGTTATGTACCCATGCTGTGTGAGATTTACAATTGTGAAAAGGGGTTAACAAAGTGAAGTAGATATCTTTTTATCTTAATTTTCATTTGTAAAGTTCTGTGCATCGGTTTCCACTGATAAAAAATCAATATAGCTCAAAATTGGGGTGTTGTGAGTACAGATCTAAATTTTTCATTTATGTAGTAGTTGGACATCCACACAAACACAGAATATTCATGAAATTTTTACTTGCTGAAACATTCACATGTAAAGTATATTTTGTGATTTACTGATTTGTTTCCCACAACACACAAAACTTGTGTTAGGAGCCACAAACTGAGTGCATCCGACAGTTTCATTCTATGGATACAAATCCTCCAAATAGCCAAATAGGAAAATTTTACTTTGTTATGAATATGTCCTTTTAAACACACACACACACACACACACACACACACACACATGTATATAAAGTATGTTAAATAGATTTTTTGATGTACTTTCCTAATATTAATGCATAGATTCTGAATCAATGATATAATAAAGAAATAAAAATAACAGGTACCAAATCAGTTCTCACTCAGGTCGTGAGGGGGCAAAAACCTATCATAGCTGACTTGGGGCGAAGTACAAATATGGAAACTTTTTAACATGAAATACCTTTAAATTTGACAAAAATAGATATATTTTTTCATGGGCTGTAAGGTGGATCGGTGGTTAGCACTGTTGCCTCGCAGCAAGAAGGTCGCCGGTTCACGTCCTGGTGAGGACACCCGGGTTCTTTTTGTGTAGCGTGGGTTCTCTCCGGGTTCTCCAGCTTCTTCCCACAGTCCAAAAACATGTTGAGGTTAATTGGTGATTCTAAATTGTCCATAGGTGTGAATGTGAGTGTGCTTGGTTGTCTGTCTCTAAGTGTGGCCCTGTGATAGACTGGCGACCTGTCCAGGTGAACCTGCCTTCACCCTAAGTCAGCTGGGATAGACTCCAGCCCCCCCACGACCCTAGTGAGGATTAATTTATAGAGGATTGTATAGATAATAGATGGATGGATGGATATTTGTTCATTGAACTTCAAGAAATAAA